ATCAGCACGCGCCCGCCCACGCACACGACTAACATACACATACGGTACTACTACAAACACAATATATATAAATAAATATAGAATGCTTTATGCGTCATATCCTACACGCACACATGTACTATGTTGGTTTTGCAACCTCAGTCAGTCTCGGACTTGTCTATCTAATGTTTAGTTTTGTTTAATTAAATTTAAGTGACAAACGAACAAACAGTCCATGTTGGGATCCTCACGGATGACTCATCTGCATTTTGATTGTTTATTGAGTAAATGTAGATGTCTATGGGCCACAACATCCACTTACCATCACGTGTACTGTGTGCTCGTTTGTCAGCCCTATTCTATGATATGAAAAAAAACCTGATAGCGGTTACTTGTAGCCCATGGACACCTGCAATCAACGTTAAACAAAGAAGGGTACAGAAGCGTTGTCACCTTTGAGGTCTAAGATGGAATGCCTCACAGCCTATATAAAGAAAGCAGTTCGAGCACTACTATTTGACGGCAGAAATAGGTAAGCGGGTGGCTCCTAGTTAGAGAAAAGGAATCCCAAGACCTAGGAAATAGGACAAGCACTCAGAAATAGGTCCCTAGCCTAGGCATAGGAGTCAAATCTAGTGAATTGTGAGCGAAATGACGCGTTGTGCTGGTGAAACTTTTGTATTTATATATATTGTGCCACAACCAATGGCCACGCGCATTCTTGTGTACTTTACTGCGGATTTCGTGACTAGCGGTCCGATAACGATCTCACTAAAGCGCAAGGTCTCCAGAGAGTACTTTAACGGGTTATCGTAACTTAAAAAAAAATACCTGTGGGGTAACACAAAATGTGGAACTTGGAAAAACTGTTATGGGCAACACTTTTTCTCTCCCACGACATGTAAAAAGCTATGCAAGTGTAGTCGTTAAAAATACATTAATTAATTTCGCGTTTGAATTGCAACACTAAGTACTTACTTCATCCTTATAATATAAATTATTAAAAAATATAAAAATAATGTAAGCTGCTATTCTACGTTGGTATTCTGTGAGAGCGTGGTCCTACCCAAGTCGGACTGACCCATTCGTGCTACCACCATAATATAGCTGCAGCGTGGCTCTACCACGTTAAAATTTGAATCCATCAACTTCCTGCATATATTATCAAGTCGTCACACCATCTAGTGGAGAGCCGCTCTACACTTCGCTTACCGGTACGAGGTTGCCATTCGAGAAATTTTATCTCGAATCGGTTGCTTAAGTCGTTCATTTATGGTAATTTTCAAATAAACAAAAAAGCTAAACAACCTATACCTAAAGTAATTTAAGAAATGGTTTATATAATAAATCGGCTTTCTTCTTTAGTAAGTTATTTTCGGTTTCGTATTAGAAATAATATAAAATCCGATAAGGCTTCGGTTATACGTAGCAAAAGGCTTAAGATCGAAGCTTTTCACCCGCAGCCAGATAACAGGGAAAATTCTAAAGTATTACAGTTTGGCGGCTCCGTGGCGCAGTGGCTTAGAAACGAGTTGCGACGCTGCGGGCAGCGGGTTTGAATCAAGTATTTGTATGGCCTACAAATAGTTGTTGTGGGTCTGGATGTTTGTCATCGTGAAATTTATATATTTTAACTGCCTCAACGATACAGGAGGAAATCCTAGTGGGGGAGTTCATTAAAAAAAAAACAAGTATTACCAAGTATTACCTATTTTGCGTGCTTTTAAAAATGTCATATTTACGTGGACAATGGCTTTGCCAGGTAAATAGATCGCTGTAAGCGATGTAGGTACGTAAGTCGCACGCCTTGCGTGTTCTCAGGTGATAACCAGGCGCTGGAATTTCCACAGCTTTCAGTGATACAAAATGCTATAGTGCTAGATTGTTGCTGATTTTATAAATACATAAAGTGCGCTTTGTGACGATGAAAGACGTTCCAATTCTTATTTTTTCTTAATAGGAAATAAAAAAAAGTTTGATAAAAAAATAGCTTTATTCTCATTCGTGCTTAATTGTTAAATATGAAATAAAAAAAAACCTAACCTATCTTTCTATTATCTGCCGACTTCAAAAAGGAGCCGGCACTCAATTCGACTGTATGTTTTTTTAAATGTGTGTTACCTCATAACTTTTTACTGGGTGAACCGATTTCGATGATTTTTTTTTATTTGAAAGCTGGTACTTTTCGTGTGGTCCCATATGAATTTGATTTTTGATTTTTGGTCAGACCAATAGTTTTTGAGTTATTCTTAATAACTTATATTGAAGTCGACTGTACAAAATTTAAAATTTTAAATTATAGCTTTAGTGAAGCTTGTCGTGTAGAATGGCAGTACAGCCTCGATGAGCCACCATATTTAATCCCATTCTTTATCCGCACGAGCAGTACAATAGTAACCTCATGATACATAGTAGAAATGGAAGGGATGTCACCGACCTGATGATGATGATATTGGTAGATGGTCCCATATGAATTTGATCAAGGTCAGACCAATAGTTTTTGAGTCATTCTTAATAATTTTTATTGAAGTCGGCTCTATAATATTTTTAATTTTAAATTATTCATAAAGCCCGGTCAATTTGATTATTTCCATAGTTATTATCATATTGCTTACTCATATTGGGCATTTTTCAAACTGTCTGGACATTAAGAATAATGCACTATTATTAATTTGGTCCATAACATATACATATAAATAAAATTGAAGTGTTTGTCTGTAAAATTTTATAAAAAAAATATTACATAACTGACTTCTAATAAGCTCAGGGGATTTCTATACCTATGCCATTGAGACATAAACAATATTTTTTTTTAAATTTTTGTCTGTATATCTCTTCGGAATGGCTGCACAGATTGTGATGAAGCTTTACTAACAGATAGAGAGCAATGCCAAGGGGAGGGATCTCTGCTATATTTTGTCAGAAAAACTTAAAGATTTTTGTTGAAAAAACGAAACATTGATAAAATAAATGGCATTTGATTATCTTAAATATAAATAACGCCACAATAATAAACGAAGCCAGGTGAATGGCATCCTTGTTGAAAAAGTGTACTATGACTTAAGAATATTTTTTGATGACTAAATGTAAAAATTACTTCAATTATGTTCATATACCTCTAAGCTGAAACATGGCTGTACTTAATAAAAAAGAAGAAACAAAAATGATCCGAAATAAAATAATATTTATTTCATGGCAAGATAAGAAAAGTGCGAGGGAGATGGATATTATCCATATCCATCTCGCTTCCTTATAGCCACCAAGACCGTTTACACTGCGTCAGAAGGTGTCGTGCGTCGTGACGGAACATCTTAGACTTTTTGTCGCCTAGCCCCCATCTGCCAAATCCGTACCGTGCGCTAAAGAACTTCGTTCTAATAATTTTGTATGTGACATCCTGTAATACCCATGCTTATGAATTAATAAATGATTGCTTGAATGATTAAATCCTATTCAGGCCACCCAAAAGCCAGCCAGCGACATCACATGGCATGGTCGACTTATTTATTTCATTTAACAAGACGGTCGCTGGTCTGTCTGTGCCAAATTATGCGTTATATGCTATATTATAATAATGTACGCGGCTTTAGAAAGGTAAAATGTTGTATTAGACGCATCGGCTGAATATCATTCAGGCTTCTAGTCGAACGGCGCCGTTTAGTAAAAAGGCTAGGCTGTTAACTGAAAGGCTGATTAAGCTAGTTGACTGCGACATGTATATGTATATTATAACAAATAATGTATTTTGTTCTGTTGCTTCTTTATTGATCAAGTTGTTCGACCACAATGTCACATAACATCAAAATGAAAAATTGACAGTTTGATTGCTTCACAGCAGGGACGCCGGATGTCAACGTATGAATTCGAATATTGTATGTATTTTCGTTGTCATAATTCTTGTTTTTATATGCAAATACTATCACTTCATATCGATGTGTTAATCCACTTGTTACTACCGTCCTTTATAACGCCACTAATTGAATGATAAATGTACCCGCCAAATTTATATGTTCAATGTTGTATAAACAAAGATCGTCTTACATTACCGTCATCAGAAACGGTCCGTCTTTAATGTGCACCTACTATTTGTCACAGTGCGTCCATTATTTTGAAGTTAGTTTTGAAGGCTTGAAAAAGGTGAGTTTTTTTAAATATACTTATAAAGTTTTATACATTACAACGTAGAATCCCGTAAAGAACTGTTATTTTAATATAAATGTAACATAAAATAAACTTGAATTTCACGGTTTTTCATGAAAATTATCTTATGTAAAAACTTGTGGCGTTATAACGCCCGGTAGTAAAATTGACGTCTATTTATTATTACTATTATGTTTTAGATCACCGACGAAACGACCTTTGAATCTCAACGACATAGTTGATGCATTACACAATATAGATTCTGATGACGATCTGCCCAGTGAAATTACCATTTTTCCACCGGAAGATCCAAATAACGAAATAACAGAAGAAGATTCTGGTGATGAAGAATTTGTGACATTACATAATCTCCCAAGTTTGGTTATTTCTTTCGAGCATATTGCGAAATTCATTTCAGTCACTGAACTCACAATCAATTGTATAATGTATTTATTACTTTTCAGGTTCCCAGCTAAGAGTTCCAGCAGAGATTACTTATGATGATACGTTTTCAGACAGTGACGATTCTGAAAATGATTTATCTTTGGCTGTGTTAGCAAAAAGAATACGCAATGCCAATGAATGCTTGCCAGAAGATTTGGATCAACAGATATCTTCTACTTCTTGCTCCACTCCATCTATAAGCTGTTCATCGAGGAACGTCACTCTTAGTGTAAGCAAAACCCAACAGTATACGTGGCGCAACAGGCACAATCCAAGTGAATTTACACAGTGGCAGGATCGTGAGGGCCCAAAAAATCTACAGTCACCTTTGTACTACTATGAGTGTATGGTGAATGATGAAGTATGACTACTTCAGAAATGAAGTGTTTTTTTGGTATACTTTTAACAGCGGTTATGTCGTGGTACCACGCAAGTATATGTATTGGGAGAAATCTTCTGATACTCACTTTGATGTTGTTTATAATGCCATGTCTAGGGATCGTTTCACAAGGATAATGAAAAACTTACGTTGCTGTGACAACAATGTTATTCGTACAGATAGTGATAAATTTGCGAAACTTAGGCCTTTGTTTGATTTACTAAATAAAATTTTCTCAGACATGGCACCTTTTGAACAAAACTATAGTATTGACGAAGCTATGGTACCATACTATGGAGGCCATAGTTGCAAACAATTTATACGCGGGAAACTAATCCGATGGGGGTATAAACTGTGGGTAGGTGCAACTAGGTTGGGGTATCTTTTTTGGTTTGACCCATACCAGGGACATTTTTCAAATATCCCAGCATGTTATAAACAATTTGGATTAGGGGCAAGTGTAATTTTGAGCTTTGCTGATGTTTTACAATCGTGCTACCCAAACACTCAATTTCATTTATTTTTTGATAACTTTTTTTCTTCTATCCCTCTTTTTCACGAATTGATTAATAGAGGATTGAAAGCTACAGGAACCCACTACCTGAGAACAAGGTATTTAAAAAAAACAGAAAGGGGCACATTCGTCTATAAGTCTGGTCAACACAAGCAGATCTTAGTCTGCAAATGGAATGACAATAGTGTCGTAAGTGTCGCCTCTAATGCGGAAACAATTGAGCCGCTTCACAAAGCCAAGCGATTTTCTCAACAATTGAAAAGATATGTGTTTATTGATCAACCTGCTATCATAAAACCATACAACGAAAATATGGGTGGAGTCGATAGAACTGACCAAAATATTGGCTTATACAGAACTTCGATCCGGGGAAAAAAATGGTATTTTTCGTTATTTTGTCATAGCTTGGATATGGCTACAAACAAAGCCTGGCAGTTGTATAAAAGTGATGGTGGCGAATACGACCACTTAACTTTTCGTAGAGTAGTTGCCAGAGGATTATTGGAGACGTATAAAAGAACCGAAAAACGGGAACCTTGCCGTACTCCCAGCAACTATAGAGAAACCTCGCGATACGATCGCATTGATCATCTAATTGAATATGAAGAATCTCAAAGCCGCTGCACTATTTGTAAAAAAAACCAAATTTCATTTGTCTTAAATGTCAGCTGTATTTACACCCAAAAATATGTTTTATATCCTATCATAGCAAAGTTTAGATTCTTGGCAAATAAACCATTGTAAGCATATGTTTTGTGTTTTATTTAATTCCAAAAATGTTTTACTTTTAGTAGCCGATCTCACTATCGGGCGTTATAACGCCACTCGTTTTCCGGCTTTTCCAGACCACGAATATTTTTTTAAATATTTTTCATGAATACTACATCGTTTTGGTACAACATATTAAAAAATCAGTTAATTCTGAAAAGTTTCAGTAATATCTGGGTTAATTATATAATATATGAAACAGAATAAAATCATTGCAGCCCGCAGCAAGGAATGCCACAACGCACGGTTTTGAGGCACCTGCATATATTGACTTTCTGCATGCGTTCAGGTCGTCACTCCATCTAGTGCTGCTACTCGAGAACCTTTCTTCCCCATCGGTTGTCGGTTCTTCAAAGTATACGGCCGGCCCATAGCCACTTCAGCTTGCTAATCCGTTGAGCTATGTCGCTTACTCTGGTTCTACTGTGAACATCCTCATTTCTAAGTTTATCACGCAGAGGAAACCCCGAGCATAGGCCTCTCCATAGCTCGCTGAGCGACATCGAGGCATCCTCATACCATTTAATTTGTCACTCTTGCGACTATAAAAATATAAGGTGACGTGCTCGGCTTCATTTAGACAAGCATTACAATGACTATCTAGTTTAAACGCAGCCGTCGGTCGTGTCTCAGGTTTCGCGACGATTCCAAAACTAGTTTCTACCATCGTCGGCACGCATAATTAGCATACGCCATTAGTCTATCTGCGTGTGTTTATAATGGCGGGGTGCCGCTGGTTTGTGGAGTACGTTTTTACGATGAGAGAAATTATGTGTAAAAGTGTTTAAAACTTAGTACTTTTAATAGTGACTCTGCTAACGATTATTGTTTAGTTAATATTTCTTTTAGAAACGTTACCTCAACTAAGATTTTCTCTTGTATCGTGGGGGCAGTTTACATACATAAATTTTACAAGGACAAACATCCAGACCCGGAAAAATTAGTTGTAGCCCATACAAATAGTTGTTCCGTGCGGGATTCGAAGGCCCTTAACGCTGCAATGCCTCTTTTCCAGTAAGAGGGGTTTCCCGTTCTCTACACTCACCATACGAAACACAGCAGCATTAAGCTACTAATTTACGCTAGTATTCTGTGAGAGCGTGGTCTTACCCCGGTCGAGCCGACCCATTCGTGCTACAAATATACTATTAATATAGCTGCAGCATGGCTCTACCACGTATAAAACGTTAAATAAAAAGATACATTCCTAATGTTACGGTACTGTTGCTGCATCCTATGGACAACCGCAACCAACATCAAGCAAAGAAGGGGCTACAGTCACGTTCTCACCTCTGAGAACTAAGATGAAATGCAACATAGTTCTAAGCTTAAAGCCTGTGATTTTGCTGGCTTTCTTTAGCCTTCTGAGTGGAACGCAGCCATGCACAAACTGCTGCTTTGCGGCAGTACGTGCATCGTAGGCAGGTAGGAGGGTGGAAACTACTCAGACGGAGTACTAGGAAGAAAAGAAAAAAAATCTTACCACGTAGATAACTCGACAAAGCTACTTTATAGTATAAAACGATCGCTACAAACTTTGATAGGCAGAATAGAATAAAAATGTTTACTATAACCGATACCCGTTACTTCGTCCGCGTTGCTTACACACATCACTTGTGAGCTTATAAAAATCGTTGTTCCTTAAAACTTTAATAACTTTATACTAAATGCAGATATCGCAATAATGTTGGGCCAAGTGTATAAGATATAAAACTTAGAAAACCTAATTGAAATCTATCCAGTAGTTTTTCCGCGATGCACGCACATCTGCAAACCTATATAATTTTATTTATATATAGGTATCAGCATTGGAATAAAAAATAAACCTAGCAAGCTAACAGCATAGCAAAGTGGCGAAGCAATCAGCTTTGTAGCGGTTTCTAACGGTTGCCGTTGAGCAATCAGTTTCAAAATAGGAGGTTCAGATGCCTGGGTGATCAGTAATCGATTGCTGAAAACAAAATTTGAAAATTCGAAACCGTTCTCGAGATAATCGTGGGACAGACGCTTCGCCACTTAATAATTCTTTTCATCTCTGCGTCACCATAAGACAGGTAGAGAATGCCTCATGCATACAATTCCGTCTGTTAGTTGAGGTTAAAATAAAAATGAAATATCATCAAATACTGACACGACCGGACAGTAGACTAAAGATCAGGACACAAATATAGATGCAGCGTGGTTCCACCACGTTTAAAAATTTTTATTTCCATACAAACTTATTTTACGGTGTTCCCATAATCTTAATATATAAAAATCCCGTGGCATGATGTTCGTTCACGCTAATCTTCGAAACCGCTCAACGGATTTTAATAAAAAAATTGTAAATGTGTAGTCTCCCTATAGCTTGCTCTAACTAGAGAGTTGGGGTAGTTTCTATCCCGATCCTCAATATTTATGAATGACCCTCAATATTATTATTGAGAATTTAAGGATTTTTAATTGGACAAAGAGCTAGCTAGTTTATTGCACGCATCATAATGCAAAGCGTTATTAGGCGGTGATTTACTCTCGACACGTCAAGGTCAAGCAATTTCGTGTTCTTAAAACTCCTCTATCATAACCATATTGCACTTATACGATAATATGAGTAGCCGTATTTCAAGAAAACACTAATTAATCCATATTATATTTTCTAAAAAATCTATTTTCAAAAATTTATATGTGGTCAAGATCACCCTCCAAAAAATTGATGTATCGAGACCGAATTTTTCTTATTAGCTTCAGTATTACATCATCTGGTTCCCTATTTCAAATCAATAGTCTAGTTTGGGCGCGTGGTTTGTTAATAAAATGATGTTCAACTTTTATAAGTTTTATAGCTATTAAAAATTAAAGGCTTTCATATATTTTTTTAGCCCTTGATAGATAGACAAAGGACAAATGTACCATACAACCTATGTCGATTTTATACTTCATGTAATCGATTTATTTTTTTCCTCAAAATTAAACGCTCATGAGGCGTACACTTTTCGATTTTCCAAACTATTTATGTTTCGTATTGACAGCTCGTACAAATGTATTTCAATTGACATAAGTGTCAATCACCCCATTGCAGGGGTTGCGCTCATGCAACTCGCCGACTATTAATATACTGAAAATAAACTACCTACATTATCTTTTAGAAATGATACAGATGTTTAACCTTCAATCTTGCTTAGGGTTCCAGGTTGAATAACTTCATGATTCACATTTTCACAACTCTTACGTGTCCCGTGAATGTTCGAAAATAAATTACGAAATAAGTTAATTAAAAAAAAAACAGAAATGTAATAAAAACAGAAACTTTTTTATTCATAATAGATTAATAAATAATCATTATTAAGTCACTCTTTATTAATTTACTCAATTTACACTCGTTTATTCACACACTTTTCTAATTTACACTCTTTTGTTTATTATATATTATATTTAATAATAATAGAGTACTTATTTATCAGAATGTATGTTATAGAATAAGGGTGACAAACGAGGACCTTATGGTAAGTGTATACTGTGGCCCATTCACATTTTTGTCCTCGATTAAGAATCAAAATGCAGATTTGTTATCACTTCTGAGGACTAAGACGGAATGCCTTGTATCCAGTAAGAAGCGTCTCCGGTTCTCTACACTTACCATACGGAACACAACAGCATTAAGTTGATACTTTAAGCTGGTATTTTTTGATAGTGTGGTAATACCCTAACGTGACCACACGTGCCGCTTTGGGCGGGACAGTCCCGCTTTCAGGCTGTCTGTCCTGCTGTCCCCAGCGAAGGCAAAATGGTCCGCCTTTCGCAAACAGACCTAACTTCATTCTTCTACATCTACAGCGTTCGAGTCGAATCTTTGAAAGAGTTTTGTGATGCAACTGACACAGAGTATCACAAACTGCTGGGCTACAGTAAAACAAGGTGGCTTACGTTAATGCCCGCGCTTGAGAGAGTTCTAAAAATGTTTCAGCCTTTAAAAAGCTATTTTCTAAATATCGACAAATTCCTAAATATTTAAAAATGTTTTTCGAAATTCCCAGATCAGGAGTTGTATTTATTTATGTATGTATGATATTTCTTGCACGCACAAGCAGTGACATTTCATGAAGCTCTGTTAAAAATTGAAGGGCAAAACGTGTCTTCAATAGAGTCTGCGAAGGAAATTAATCATCTCCGAGATAACCTGGCACTCAAAGAGAGCACTCTATACGTGGTAGAGCCATGCTGCAGCTATATTGGGAGTATAGTTGTAGCACGAATGGCTCTGCTCGACCGTGGAGGGATCACGCTCTCACAGAATACCAGCGTAAAATAGCAGCTGTGTTTTGTATGGTGAGTGTAGAGAACCGGAGACCCTTTTTACTGGAAAAGAGGCATTCCATCTTAGTCCTCACGGCTGACAACGCATCTGCATTTTGATGCTTAATCGAGGATAGATGTTGATCTATGGGCCACAGCAACCACTTACCATCAGGTTGACTGTGTGCTCGTTTGTCATCCTATCCTATAAACAAAAACGATTTTCCTTCCTCACACCGTCCGTAACATACTTGTAAAATTACAAGGAACCGAAATTGCTGTTGACCAGCAGAATGTTAAAATTGCAGAGTTTTATAGGACAAGCAAAGAATATTTGGAGCAGTGGTGTCAATTCAACATAGAACTACAATTGTTTTGATGGGCAAATTTAACAAAAGCACCTACTTGGGATGAGGTACAAAAAGTAATGGATTTGCTGATCACGCAAGTGTTTATTAGCAGCAGCCAAGATACGAAGAAAGTCTTTGACGAGTTTTCGCTTATTTCCAACTTTGCGACAGATGAAAAAATCACTGGCTGGAATGATGAGAATATTGCCACTGAAAACCATTGGGTTGAATTATTCGAGCACTTCCGTGCCTATCATAACTATCTTCACTTAACTAACTTTTGTACAATTATTGAGTATATTATGTGTCTGCCAGGAAGTAATACGCGTTGGTAGAAAGTTTTTTTCTCAAATG